TCCACCCAAACCCTTCTGGGATTCTATGACTACAACACAGGAGGAGCAACAGCAGTGACAGGAAAATTCTACAAAGAGAAAATCACACTTTCTGCCTACATCTCCAGCAGGTTAAATAGGAGTAAACCAAACACCTCTGCACAGAGGAGTGGGTAGGTAGCCTTACTTGTATTAATGTTTAAATCTGGTGAGAATGAGGTCAATAAGACAAGTGGGCCCCCAACCTGACCAGAGGACCAGATCCATGGTTTCTAACTGGATTTGCACTTAATTCACACTTAAGAGCACAAAAAACCTAAGGGAAAACAACTAAACAGACCTATTGCTCTAATATTCAAAACTAAGAATGGATGTGCAGCAAGCTGGAGTTCGCACTACTTTGTAGAAATTGCTCCTCAATTTATGACAGTCTTACGGCACTGCTCTTTGTTTCAGGAGTTTAAAAGAGCTCTAAGAGAACTAGATAAGGAAAATAAGACTGCAGTCACCTCTCAGCTTGCTGTGTGCTCAGAGCACCGTCATGAACACAGGCTGGGGATCCCCAACCCACAGCAGCATGAGGAAGATTGAACCAACAAGCCTTGATGCTTCCAAGAGCTGCCTCTCCGCACAGCCCAACCTGAAGGACTGGGCTCATTTCTGCCTGCTCTCGCTCGCAGAGAACAGTCGAGCCGGGAGATTCCAGCCCAGCAAGGAGCGGCGCTTCAAGTGGCAAAATGGGCTGATTTCAATCTCCCCTCTTCAGAGCTAAACAACACAGCTTGTCAGGAGGCTGAGTGATGAGTAAATGGAAAGACCAGATAATAGCTTACAAACATTTAAAGAAATAAATACCAGAGAGTTTGGGCATATATATATATATATATTTTTTTTTATGGCCAAACAAGGAGCTGCACATAGGAATGTGATGAAATTAAGGCTGAAGCTTCCTGAGAGATTTATCATCCTGTGGAATCGTCTGAGTAGAAGTGATAGACGCCTGATGACAGAGATCACTTGAAATGATGCTGGGCAGAAGAGAAACCATGAAAATAGGCCTAAGGTGGCATGGAGACTGCTAAGATATCCAACAGTATTCTCCCCTCTAACTTGTCTTACAAGTTCTCTTCATTTTGGGGGTGTTTCTCACATGCTACCCACACTAAATAAGCAAACAGCTTCTGCTCGAGCTCACCTCCTCGCTAATACAACCTATTTGCTGTTTCACCTTTTTTTACTGGAGCTATACACCAAACCAGTGGTTTCAATTATTTGTCCATAATGATCTCCGAGTTCTTTTCCCGATCAGCTTGTTGGATGACTGTTCCATTTAGCACATACTCCCTAGCTCAATCCCAACTTATTTTCCAGTTATCTATATTGAACGGCATTTGTCACCTCAATTATCCAAATTCCTTGGAATCCAGCCCTGCTGTTCCTCATTATAAACCCAAATCTTGCGACGTTCTGGGCACCCTACTCCTATCAAAGCCAAGAGCCACTGAGGAGACGCTGAGTCGCATCAGATATGGCTCAACTGTTTTGCCTCCAGTTTCTCTATTATCTTCTTTTTTTTTTTTTTGAAGTCTTGCTTCCAGTGTTGTCTTCCAAACCATTTCTATAAACAGACAGAATAAAGATACTAAAAATGACCCTGGGAGGAGAGGGAGGTCACTTTGCGAGTGTTTACTCACCAAATAAACTGGTTATGACCAGTCCTACAATTCTGGAAGGCGCGATATCTTTCACAAGAGATTTGAGAACCTCCTTCCCACACGTCAGCGTGACTGGCGGCACACTTGGTGAGGAGACAGCCAGATCTGAGCTAAGCTACAACAAAGACTGAATGACTGCGGCATCTCAACTGTATGCCCGAGTGCTTGCAGCACGAGATAAACAGAAAACTCAAACCCCAGCCGTTTGCACGGTCTTTAGTCCTCTCAACTATTCCCTCAATCATTGACCAACAGCCTTGTATAGTCACATTGTTGAAATCAGGCCCCTGACCTACATGCCTGGTTGTTTACACATCTTTTTACCTTCCTCATCGCTGCTGTCAGACTGAAGTTGTTTGATTCTCTTCCTCTTTTTCTTTAGATTTTCAGAATCTCTTTCTTCCTCGTTGTCTGACTTGTCCACCCTCTTCATTTTACTGACACAAAAAATAAAAGAAAAAAGGAACGAACATGTGTTATCCATTGTGTGTGGATGAAAACATCAGGCACGTTTAGGCAAGCACATTCCTGAGAGAAGTACTGCTAAGCAGGGAAATCAAATACCTCTGTACCCCTCAAAGACATGAGCATCCCATATGCTGAACTACACTCACCTATAGAACCAGGTATAGGTGCACCCGCATTTCCAAGCCTCTCGTCCTTACCCATATCCAGTTCTCCAAAACAAGGAGGATTTCTTTAGCCCCTCTGCAGTTCAACGTTTTGTCCAGTACCTCACCTAGCTTGGCCACAGCAACCTGGCAAGAGCGAATTTCTGATCATGTCTCTAGAGCTCAGGCTCCCAAACACTAATGTCCCCAACAGCATCACTCAGAAGCGCTTTTGACAGACTGCTTGCCACTGACTGACTATGAGGTAGTGTCTCAGAATCCTGGAGCCATTTTTAAAGACTACTGGAAAAATAAAATAGCTTCTTTCTTTTTAACGTTGGCAAGACGTGTCAAACTAACAAGCCTGGAGGCTAAAGGCCCATGTAGCCTCATAGAGCTGGTACAGCCCGAGTGGCCTTCCCAACACCACGCTGCCAACATGAGCTTTCCAGGCCCTTGGCTTTCTGAACAAGACTATCAATAAGAAAACCAGTGAGCTCTAACTGCGATGGTGGGCTGGGTGGTGTGCTTACCTATTTAGTTAGAAACAAATTAAGACCACCAATTAATTACTCATAGGCCACCAGAGAGCCATCAGACTGTAATGATTTTTTGTCTCTGTCAGTTTGGGTTGGATTAAACACAAAGGGCTGAACTTAAAATTGACTTGGAGTCTCAGCCCAAAGTAAACCGGCAGGATTGAAAGCAGCAGTACATTAGCTATGGGAATCAACAAGCAGAACTTTGTGTGCTGGAAGCTGTGTACATACAAGCTTGGGAATATACTACCTTCCCTGCAGTACAGGTGCTCTTGCCAGCCCCCCCAGATCGCCTGCGGGGTCTGCACCGAGTCTGCTCACAGCGTGAGATCGCCTCAAGAAAAGTCATCCCCTCCCACCAAAAACTACGTGGATCATGTCCCTTCTCCCACTTGCAATGGCACACATGGCCCTGAGGCACCTACAGCACTAAATGAAAAAGAAATTTTAGGAAAAAATTATGAGAGAGATCATTTTAGCCAGGTTTAATGCAATTTAGTAACTAGAAACAAGAGATGAGCCAGCATTGTATGACCAGCCAGCTCCACGCAGGCCATCAACAAGCAGGTTACAAGGTTACAGGGACCCCGAAGGCACAGCCCACCTTTTTTTGTCCTTTTGTTGAATTCTAGCAGACTCTGTTTTCTTCCCAGGTTTCTCTACTACAGTATTATGGGATGACTCTGGTTCTGCTGCAAGAACTGGAGGCTTGACTACTTCTTTCTCCTCCTTTGGCTGCTCAGGCACAGAGTTGACCTTGAGTTTATCTGTGAATAAACCATTAAAAAAAGAACAAACACTGCGTATTCAGTATGAACAACAACTTCCAAAAGAGTTGGCTAAACAAAACACTGTGCACCAAGAATACAGAAAACACCACAGATGATGTATAAAATATTAGGGGTCTAGATTGACCAAGCTGCATCACACACGAAGAAAGGACATGCTTAAATATCTAGCTGATTTACCGTTTTGGTTCTGCTCTTCCTGATGGCACAGCATAAGCACACTGCAAGCCAAGCGTGCAGAAGAGGGCTACGAGGCAGCACCGAAAGCCCTCACAGCCACCAGGACTTAAAGCACTGCAGGAGGGTTGGGAGTCATAAAATCACAGAAGGGGTTGGGTTGGAAGGGACTGTAAAGATCATCAAGTTTCACCCCCCTGCCATAGGCAGGGACACCTCCCACTAGCCCAGGTTGCCCAAAGCCTCATCCAGCCTGGCCTTGAACCCCTCCAGGGATGGGGCATCCACAGCTTCTCTGGGCAACCTGGGCCACTGTCTTTCCTCCTTCATCATAAAATATTTCTTCCTAATATCTCATCTCAATCTCCCCTCTTTCAGCTTAAAACCGTTACTCCTCATCCTATCTTCTAGCCCCTCTCCTAGCCAGCCCTTTTGGCATAGCACCACATCCATCTTTACTATAGTCAATTGATCCCTTCTAAATTAGAGTTTTAGTCATGCACAAAAGTGCCCAGAAGCAGGAGAATCAGGACTGATAAAGAGCAATGAGAGGCGTGTGCACAGTCTCCATCCTGCATAACTTCAGAGCCCATGATTAGTATTTTCAGTAATGTACCAGCTCCTCGTCACACCCCAACCCCAGCGGGATCAAGAACCAGCCTCTTTTGCCTACACGGCACCACATACAAGGACAAGAACCCCAAGATGTTCAACAAGGCCAAATGCAAGACCCTACACGTGGGTCAGGGCAACCCCCAGTATCGATACAGGCTGGGGGATGAAGAGAGAGAGAGACCTGGGTGTCCTGGTGGATGAGAAGTTGGACATGAGCCAGCATCTGAGAAAGCCAACCGTATCCTGGGCTGCATCAAGAGGAGCATGGTCAGCAAGTCAAGGGAGGTGATTCTGCCCCTCTGCCCTCCTGAGACCACACCAGGAATACTGCGTCCAGCTCTGGAGCCCTCAGCACGGGAAGGACCTGTTGGAGCGGGGCCAGAGGAGGCCACAAAAATTATCAAAGGCCTGAAACACCTCCCGTATGAGGAGAGGCTGAGAGAGTTGGGGTTGTTCAGCTTGGAGAAGACTCCAAGGAGACCTGATTGTGGCCTTTCAGCACCTAAAGGGGGCTACAGGAGAGATGGGGAAACACTCTTTATCAGGGAGTGTAGTGAGAGGACGAGGGGTAATGGTTTTAAACTAAAAGAGGAGAGGTTTAGACTAGATATAAGGAAGAAATATTTTGTGCTGAGGGTGATGAAGCACTGGCACAGGTTGCCCAGGGAGGTGGTAGATGCCCCATCCCTGGAAACATTCAAGGTCAGGTTGGATGGGGCTCTGGGCAACCTGATCCAGTTGAAATGTCCCAGCTCACTGCAGGGGGGTTGGACTAGATGACCTCCACAGTCCCTTCCAACTCAAACTACTCTACGATACTATGATTCCATGAATTCTGCTTCAAATGGCTTCATCTAGTACCAGAGAAGAGATAGCACGTGGGAGCGGACAGCAAAAGAATATACTTATCAACCTGACGTGGTGCTGTGAGCACACCAGCACCTAATTAGTCTGTGAGCTTCATTCAGCGGCTTACACACACCCCACCAGAAGAGAGGAGCAGATACGTTAGAAACCTGCAGCATCCTGTATCAAGCACAAGATGCCTGAGCGAAGAAAAAGTATCAAACAATGAGATCAACCACGTTGTCAACAGGAACAGGGGTTGCCGAGAGGGCTAGAAGACTTAGCGCCGGCTGGCTGCTTCGTTGAGCAAGGGAAAGCATCTCATCCATAAGAACTTGAACAACAGCTCTCTTATTTACGATCAATAGCAGAGACTCAATTATTGTTAACTCAGTACTTTCTGGCAAAGGGGAAAGCTTTGAAGCCAGGAGAGTTTAGGGAATAAATCTTCCTCCTGGAATCACCCTATCTCTTCTATCCACATAATCATTTCCAGTTCTGCTCAGTTTTCTCCTTCCCTGCAGCCACCTCACAAGTTTCCTTGAGCAGCTCCTTGACAGGACTCAGCAGAGACGTGAACCCCACTGGAAATCGTGGAAATGCATTCACAAAGCTTTCTCCATCACCACTGACTTGACTTTACTGTGCAATTCCGACCTCCTGGGTTTTCAGAATATGAACATTGCTCTAGGGTTCTTCTCAGATCTTTAAAATTTTACTTGGGTTAATTGTAGCAACTGTGCTCAGGCTGGTGAAGCTGAGGCTGAAAGTGTCCTCGGCTCCCTCAGTCCCATCAAAACAGGAACTCAAAGACGCCCAACAGGACTGTGCCTTCTGTGTTCAGCGCTGGAACCGTACCCTGCAAACTCTGACAGATGCTTGTTAGAAAGTGAACGATGCTGTTTACTCCCTCCCAGTGCCTCTTTGAATCCTCTTGTACTCAGTATTATAAGGGCATCTTTGAATAAAACCCTACAGTTCTTTTCCAATGTCTATTTAAAAGCTTCAGCATATTTTCTCTAGACTTGGATAATTTAAGGTAAGAAGGGACCTCCAGAGGCCACCCACTCCAAACCCTTCAAAGGGGAAGGCCACCCCTCGTTTCTATCCTCCAATTATTAGCTCTTCAGTTTTCATTAAAGAAATTAACCCTAAAATCTAACTACAGACTCCTCAGTGACTTGTGATGAAAAGCAAGCATCGTTAACACACCCTGCGTAACAGGTTTTGGCAAACATTTGACCAATAGCTAATCTTCCAGCCAGCAGTACTCAAGTTAAATCAGATTTCTTCTGCACTAAAAATCCTGTGGGTTAGTCTGCACAAATATGTCATTTTAATTGATCTCCATCCAGCAAGCTTTTTGTCTGAAAAATTCCACGTACAACCTTTAACTTTTGTCTTAAGAGTTGCGTACAAAAACATTAACCGCTCCGAGTCCAAAAGAGCAGAAGAATGGTATGGAAAACTATAAGAAAAAAGGGGGTATAAAGAAAATCCAACAAATTTGGTGGGGCAGGGGTGGGAAGGAAGAGTTCTGCTCCTTTCTCTTTATGTCTCCCATCACAGCTGTATAACAAGACACCTGATATCACCAATTTTAGCTCCTTAGCTTAAAAAAAACCCCTTCCAATATCCCTCAGAATTTTTTAACTTTTTTTTTAAAGTACAGAGGGCGGGTCCCTGACCACACTGGTTTCTGCAAACAGATGCATGTTCTAAAGCACTTACTCATGGCAGCTTTTCCAAAGAAGTTGTTCATAATGTTGCCCTTCGGTGGGGGTTTGCTGCTTGCTGCAGACACCTAGAAGCAAACAGAGGAGCAACCACAGGAATTATTCACGCAACACAGCCCACAAAATGCAAAGTACTGCTTCTGGACGAGCAACATAAATATGTGTAATTTGCTGAGTAGTCAGCGTCTTCGATTTCAGTATCTGTTCAGGAGAATTTGAAGATATGAGGTATTACATGGATCGAGGAGTTGAGTGGAAATTATTCCGACTCCTTCGCTAGGCCTTCAAACCTAACTTGGGTCACATTCCCATCTGATGGCTGACAGTGTTACTGAAATAAGTGGTTGGGATTTGGGTCAGTTCCCAGTAAAGAACTGTTCTTTTTTTTGCAAACTATCAGTGCCTCGATTCACAGTAACCGACAGAGGAAAGAACACAGATTGGCCAAACCATGAAGACTTTATCCAGCTACTCTGGCACGTACACTGTTCTGCTGAGCCACTTGCAAAAAATATCACTGCTCTATTCCATTAATATAGCAGCCACCAAAGTGAAAAATCACTCACACACACAAAAAAAATCCACCTTAGGAAGCTTGGCCTCCTAATCCCATTTATTTTCATGCAAAAAAAAAGGCAAACAGACGCTAAAGTTCCCAAAACACTCTGACACTCATATTTCACCAGTTCTAAATTCACTATTAAAAAAAAATAAAAATCACAAAAGTGAACCAAAAAATGTACCCAGCTGTTCTAAAAAAGCCAAACCATATGCAGGGAATGTTACCATTTTAGTACCCATTTACTGGCCACATTGCTTTAAAAACAATTCTACTAATTAAAATTAAAACATAATCCTATCCTGGAAAAAAAAAAACCAACCCCACAGCAGTCGAGAAGATAAACAATTTAGTCTTGTACAGGTCAAGCTTAGAAACTTCCCTCCCAGACCAAGTTTAAACACCTTGATACTTTTAAGACCTGGACTTCTCACATTTCACTTATTGCTCAAAACAAATCCTTTTAAGCACAATGGAGAGAGCAAGATCCTCGACCGGTGTATATATTGGCATAAGTGAAGACAATGGAAGAATTGTCTCAATAATGCAGCTATGCTGGTTTATACTCGCTGGAGATCTGGCTGGAGGAGGAATGTCAAAAGTTACGGCAAATACACTTTTGTGGATAGGTCCAGAGCATGGCACAATATACTCTCCCCCAAAATGACAGACAGAAGGCATGGCTGGAGCGTAGAGTTAAATACTTACAAAAGAGAGACCGAGCATTCCCAGCAAGCAGCACGTTTAGCAGCAGAAGCAACGGACAAGGCTGCGCTACGGCTGGTTAAGGTTATTCAGGTCAAGTAAGAACAAAGCGGTTTATTAAGGTATTAACCCAGAGGGCTGCCAAAAGGTCTGAGGTAACTTACACCTGGGGCCTCCTTTGCCTCTGCTTTCGTTTCTTTATTTGTGTCCTGGGGTTTGGAAGCTGCTTTTGCTGCAAACATTCCCATGATCCCTTTGGGTTGCTGTGATGGCTGTTTAGCAGTTGATGGACCGTGGCCGTTGACCGCAGGTACTGTGACAGCATTCGTGTCACTCGGTGGCTGGGAACCAGCCTGAGCAGACATCTGCGCTTGAGAAACTTCAGCTGGCGTCCTGGGGACCGCAGCGGCACACTGAATGGCGCTAAACCTGTGTGATGGAGTGAAAATTTTAATTAGCCTTTTAACTTCTTATTTTTCACCTCGCTTTCCTCCCCGGTAGTGCCTTGATCTCTGGTCCTGTGTTTTCCTGTTATGGAGAAAAAAAAAGAGCAATTTAAGTTGTGCATGGGACAAGAAAGAAAGGCTGTCACAGAACAGGAGCAATGGAGACCTCTACTGAAAAGATCATCTGAACCTGTCAGCAAGAGCCAGAGCATTCAAATCCTAAACAAGCTGTTTGGATTTCATGGAGGGGGGGAAAAGCCTCCACACCCAGGGTGGAGATGGAGCCGACTGCATTTTATTCCTAAACGGGTTACGCTCTCTGAAGTTTGCAACATAAATTGTACGACTGTCTGATGACCTAAAACATTTACAACCTTCAGATGCTTTGACAGAGTCCACTGCTGCCACAACAAGCGGCCGCAATCGCATCAGCCAGGTAAGTAAATCACAACTGAAACCAAACTACCTAAAAAATGGCTCAGAAGATACCCACGACATTCAGATTTAACTATATAAAGTCATTTCCATGCAATCACTAGTAGACAGAGATACATCTCAGCTCGTAACAGGCTGAAATGTGACTGTTTGGGGATACGGAGATATAAGAACTAAAGGATCTGCTCACAGTTCCAATCCAATTCCCTGACAGTCAGGAATAGCAGTACCCAAAAATAACCGAACTCTACACCCCACTGTGCAAATCACAGGCGAGGCTTTCCAGATTTCTTACAGAAATGCCACAAAACAGCAGAGACTCACGCCTTCCAATGCACTGAATTACACAGCATATTTTTATTTGCATAAGAAATAAACCCATCTTCTGCCAATTAATTTCTGCGCCTCAGCACTAGCGGCTCACGTGCACTGCTACGCAGGTCAGGAACCGAGTAACAAAACAACATCTCTACAGCACATCCAGCCTGCAGCAGCAATCTCTTGACATCCAAACCTTTAAAGGAAGGAAAGAAGACATGGAAGAAAAATATTCCTACTTTGCTTTATACTTTCAATCTGTTTTTGACGTGGTCAACACTCATCTCTGGACAGCTTTCGCTCCTACTCCGCACAAACCCATAAGCAACACAATCAACCCTCCAGATCACAAATAATTTTTAGCATCAATGGTTATATCGAGTGTGCAGCGAGCACATCGAAACCTCACGCCTTCCAGGTGCTTGGGAAGTCAGCTCGCCTTAACGCTGCTGGGTGACTATAGCTGCTGGGCTTGATCCAAAAGTCACTAAATAATCGCTGAAAAAATAAGCAATGGTTGGATAAGCAAAGAGCTGCTTCCTCTTGGAAAGCCGACATTAGCAACACGCATGAAATCCAGGTATTATATTAGTACCAGCCACCTCCACCATCCCCACAGGAGAACAGGTCCCGTACAAACACAGAAATTGAGGATCCTTGCCTCAGAGCTTGAGATATATGGGCTGAGAGGCAAGTATAAGCAGCCAGTAAGTTCTCTTTGCTACAAACACGCACATAGTTAAACCTCTGTCTGTGCAGGTACTGCAGGAATCTTGTCTCGAGCATAAAAGTCAATTCACGCAGTTGACACGGGAGAGGGAATACGGTCAGTCTGGATTTAGTTCGGCCAGGTCACAGGTGAAGAAGCTGAATTTTTCAGTTTGCTTGGGAAAGTCTGCTCCAAAGCCAGGCAGGGATTTACATATAGGCTTCCTAAAGCTGTTTTCAGAATTGTCTAAACCTTCTGGGTGTCCAAGTCAGAAAGGCAAACTCCTCTAAGACACAAGTATCACCATGCAGGGGGCTGAGAGCAAACAGACTGGAACAAGGCGACTGCAGCCAAACCTACGGCACGTGTCTTCATTGAGGGAGGGTTTTCCAGCGCTTCCCAGGGTACTGGCATTTGAAACACACAGCTTCTAGGACATTATTTTCTCAGACACCCTCTTGTCAACATTTTGAAGACATCTCTGCTTTCAGATTCTATACTCTTTCTATGACACAACATTCAGGCATCCCCCTTCTAAACCAGATTGGTCATGGCACTGTACATCCCCATTACGTCAAGCTGAAGCTGTCGTGGTGGAAGCAATGTACAAATGACAAGCCACAGCTGCCAGGCACTGTTCAGGAGGGGAGACGATGACCCCTGGAGACTAAAGTCCCTCTGAATTGTAGGACAACCTTTCTCTAGTTCAACCATGAAGGACACTTGTGCTGCTTGGTCTGTTTTGTGTGCTTCCCCTATGCCTCACACTGTGATCTTTATATCATAGAACGGTTTGGGTGGGAAAGGACCTCAAAAATCATCCAGTGCCACC